AATATTAACGTTATAAATTGTGCATTTATTTTGACTATAATAAATGAAGTCATTGCAAAAGACTCGAATAAACACGATTAAGAATTTAAAGTATCTCAAGCGCAATTATGACGATAGGTAAATAGTATGTCGCGTATTAAGCCAGGGAAGGTAAAGTTTTCTCTTAGCAAGGTATCGGAAGCTCGTCAATATCGGTTTATCGCTTTTAATTTCATTTCCTAACTAGGCTAAACTTCTGTCGCAGGTGTAAACTAATAACGAGTTGAGTGAACCACTATTACTACTACTACTATCGATGGATAGAAGCTATGAAGTTAGAAAATGATGAGCTGCGACGATTAAAATCAAAATCCTCGGATAAACGGTTGTGGTGGACTATTTATCGGGAAAGAAACTATTTTCTTCGTAAAAATCGTTATGAGAACCACTGCGATTCAATGTATCAGTGCACGCACAGGACTACGATATGGGAAGGACATTCTGTCGTAGAATTGCTCTCAAGGGAGTCGTTGCCAGATGATGGGAGTCTTCGTACTCTTCTTCTATCTCCAATTTGCGTTTGTGTATGCGTGCACGCGATAGTTTGCACAATTGCGATATTTACATGTTGCATAATTTAGCGAATATTCGAAAATCGTGAAGGATTCTTTTCAAAATAACAGATCATTGTCTTTGAAAGAAGAAAATGTAGAAATCCGAGACGTCGGTAATTGGCATAGCGGGGAACGTCAAAGCACGACGTTGGCTCGTCGATCTTCATTCCCTTTCACGATGTCGTCGAGTGTTGTTAGAATAACGATAACGATGAGCTTCTAGAGAAACTCGGAAGTCGACTAGAAAAATCGAGAAGACGAGCTTTGCGTGTTATACGAGCACACACGCACGCCAGAAATCGGCAAAGAGAACTCCTTTGAGTTGAGCCTTTTAAACAGGACCACCCCACACGTTGCTTTGCGATGCCCCTTTGGTTAGATCTATTTAAACTTCGTCATATATAATTCATCTTTTACGAAAGACCTTTCAAATGTTTCTTATTACGTTTCTAATATCTCTTCAAACTCCTTATTTATTACATATTTTTCTAGATTTTATTTGTAAGATTGATTTATTTATTTTATACTTCTCTTACTTCTTCGATAAAGTCGGAAGGAAAAATAATATACTCCGAGTTGAGTGGAAAAAAAGTAAGGAAAGCTCCGAAGGTAGTTTATCGGTTCGTTGAAAGGTAGAATTTTCTTCTCTACAACTGCACATCCTGTGGGTTTGCGATCGAGTTCTAGCTACTGACCTACTTCCAAAACGATTTTCAACGGATAGAACGGATTTAGGCGCGATCGTAGCAAACGATTCTCGCGATTTCTGTGAACCGCGGCCAAAAATACTCGGAAGTATATAATCGGGTCATTTGTCCGATATGTTTGTCGAACTAAACACGTACGTTCAATTCCATATAGACAAATATTTCCATAGAATAATATATTATTTTCTTCTAATTATCGCATAAACGTGATTCATTTGCACGATCTCGTCTCGACAATTCGCGCGTTCATCTTTTTGACATCGACGATACCGTGCAAATGAATTTATAATATTGCGATGATACTCTGTTTCTTTTTTTTATTTTTACTTCTTTCCTCTTCTTTTTTGGTCTACGAATTTTGGCACATTACGAAAAATTCGCGAGAGTTTAGTTATTCGAGATTAGTATTCGCATTCCTGAGCAAAATTACGATTAGTTTGTCACGAATTTGTGAAGACTTATGGTTAGATAAATATCGTATGTTTAGAAACGATACACGTCGTTGCCTTTCCAACATATCAAACATTTAGCGTTAAACGTGACACGAAGTATGTTTCTAGGAAAAATATTTTCTAAGTATTTTCATCGAATTCTCCTAGAGAGGAATTTCACGTAAATTGTTAAATATTATCTTATTTCTTTAAGAAAAGGGACTATAATATTCTCTCTCTTAGCGTAACATAATAAATGAATAATTTCTTAGAACGTCTTTTTGAATATTCTATCATGGACGAAAGCGTAATCAGAGAAGGTGGGTGACTTCTGCTTCCGCTTCTTCGTCGTCTATTTAACGGACTTTAACGATGTCCACTTGTTTTAGAAAATAGAGTAGCTTGTTGTCGTCGCGAGAGAATAAAGATCCGTAACAGTCGACGAAGAGAGAAAGAAAAAGATTGTTCCAAAAATTGTTAAAAAAAGAAAAAAGAAAGTAAGAGAAAGAGCTAATTTCGTTCTTGGAGTTTAAACTTTAGTAGAGAACAGGATACACAGAGTACATCGTGTTTAAGCGTGTTGTACGATCCGTTTCGCTACATAAATCTAACATGTGCCGTAGTCAAAGCTGTCTAGAGAAAAATCCTTCCCTTCTCGTTCTCTTATGCAAATTATATCTTAAGTTTAACGATAAAATATTAGCGAGTTCGTACTAATTCAAGAAATAATTCTTCTAAAAATCCGCACTTGCTTAGTTGCCAACCCAATAGATGCGATGAAATTTATTTCACGCAATACTTGATAGAATTGTAATTACGCGAACGATACTACCAAAGTTGATTATTCATTTCGCTAGCAATTTCATCGGGATTTTCATTTCTCGAAAACTCTGGGGTATTAATTCGATTGGCGTTTGAATAAAAAAGGAAATTATACGTTTCGGGATTAACGAAATGAATTTTCCTCGATTCGGTGGTAGAATTCGTTCTCATTTAGGAATTAAAAAATTGCGGGGAAAAAAAGAAATAGAAATAAGTTCCTTTTGAAATCATCGGTCGTAGGAAAAGCATAGAGACTACTCAGAGTACTTGAATGAGTTCTTTGTTATGCGTGTGTGTATCTCCAGGAGAGAGAAACGCGTGGGTGTAATTTGGAAGGAAATAAAGCAACGTGAAAACAAACAAGAAGGTAAGTAGTTACCGAGAGGAAGAAACGAGGAAGGAAAGCAACGACGCGTGCCACGCGTCGTGTGCGTTCGTTCGCGTGTCTCTCTGTTTCGTCATGAGAGAGAGAGAGAGAGAGAGAGAGAGAGAGAGAGAGACGTTTCTTCTCTCGAGCGTGCAGTCGAGTAACAAACTAAATAGTGCGATAGAAAAAGGGATCAACAAAAGCACCAAGAGACATCGCGCGTCTTGGGAAAGAAGATGAATGAGAGACGAGTATCGGACTAATTGCAATTATCTCCCAATTGCAACATTTCGAAACAAACCAAAATAATTTAAATACCAGAGAGAGAGAGAGAGATAGAAATAAATGATGAATAGTATATTCTCGAGTTTATTAAACAATGAAATATAATAGAAAAGGAAGCGATAAAATAGGATGGAATGTTTAATTTTATTTCGGAATGAGAGGAAAGAGAGAGATAGAGATAAATCATACGAATTACGAAAATAATATATCGAAGAGAATGCGAGATGAGGAAAGAAAGAAGGAAAGAAAGGAAGAAATGGAATGACAATATTTGAAAATAATTGATGAATGAAATATTAAAGATAGAGAAAGACGGATAAATAGTAAAAAGAATGCACTTCCTTGCGAAGAGAAGTGCAACGATGCAGTCGCATCAAAGTGACCGTGCCGGCATCGCATCGGCTGGTCGTTTCTCAGAATGCTTTACGGGCAGGCGTAAGAAGACCGGCCACTTCATCTGCTGGATTTAGAATGAATTATCGAGGTATTAACGTAACGTAGCGCGCGTGGATAATGTGTTTCCCGACGATATACGAGATATCGTGTCCAGCTTTTCTCTCTTTCTCGCTCAGAGCAAGGGACCTTTCTGGTTGCTAGTCATTAAGATTTCTGCGAGTAAGATCGCGGTCAAAGAAATCGCTTGACAACGACTCTCTTGAATGTGCGCGCGCGTGAGAGAGAGAGAAAGAGACAGAAGGATTGAAATAAAGGTACTTTCTCACTCGGCGTGTCTCTTCCGACCTCAAGTCTCATCGGCACGTTCTAGCTTTTCAAGCAAAAAGTGTCTTTAGTAGGGATCCGGTTCCTAATTTGTGAGAGACCCGGTTGATGAAAACTCGAGACGAAATTACGAGGACCTAGGCTAAAGAGAGAGAGAGAGAAGATAGGCTTTTCCTATCGAAATGTCATGCTAAACGGAGTAGTTATAATTAGGATGGTGGATCCTAGTTTTAGTCTTTGGTTACGTATAATGTATCGTAAATTAATCGTATCTTATTTATAGACACGTCTGACCACTATTGCCAATTACTACTTAACTACTAAACGAATGATTTTCTAATGACTCGTATTATTATTTGTAGATGAAATTTTTATCAGAGAGAGAAAAAAAAAAGAAAGAAAGTATTTGCTTGAAAGTGATAAATTTTGATGTCAAAGGAAAAAAGAAAGAAAAAAGGGAGAGAAAGATGGATGCGCTGATAGTCAGGTGAAAATCACGTGGAAGGTAAAAGACAAAGGAGAAAGACGAAGACAAAGACTCGGGTGGAAAGATTTATCGGCACGATCGAGAAATCCGGAGCGTTGTCCGCTGAGAGATAAGGATGGGGACGGGCCTCTCGAGTTTAGACTTTGGCTTAAAAGAAAAGTGCAAGCTCGATGTCGCGTCTCGATTCACGAAGGCTCGACTATCATAAATCGATTATACGCTCTTTGCCTTTCATCCTTCCCACGCCTCTTCCTCCTCCTTGTCTTTCATTCTTTTTTTATGCGCGAGCTTAAGGCGAAGATGTGTGTTTGCTCGAGAAAAATACGTCGAGAGCCGTCTACTCGACGCCTTTTTCTTCTTTCTTTCTATCTCCACATTTTTGTCCCCCTCGTTTCTTTGTTACTCCGATACACACATAAAAACACAGACGATAAGAAAACAATGTCGTCTCGAAAGCTTTCCAGCAAACACATATCGATAATGTGATATATTTTAAACGTTGGACGTAAGCAACTAATATTTTCTGGAAAAGAATTTAGACTACGGCATAAGCTTTTTTTTTATTGAAATTCTTTTTTGCTTACTGACCGAAACGATTGTTGCTGTCCGTTCTTCTAATCGTGCCCGTGACACCTGTAACAAAGAAAAATTCAACAAATTTAAATTGCAACACCGAAAGGTAAGATGATTACAAATAGAATTTAGTTGGATCGATAAAGGTTAGAGAGGGAAGGTGACGAAAAGGTATGAGAACCCCTGTAAGGTGAGCAGCGGAGAAACGTACTTTAAGCACGGCATTTCCCCTGGGTGCTCGAGATTTGTGTCGACTAATCTGCGTGAAGAGAACGTAACGCATAGCTTTAGCCGCAGAGCCTAACCTCTACCTTAGTTTCTCGTCCCTCGCAGCCCCTTTTTGACAACGACACGTCAAAACACTTCGTTCGTTCTCGAGGGAGGATATGACAGTCGTATACAAGAAGAAATATACCTCCCCCAACCAACCCCTTACCAATAGTGCGTTCAATACCTTTGAGTATTTGAAAGTACCCTATGCTCACCTTCGAAGAATACCAATATAACACTTATTTGCATCGCTAATTCTATTAGAAAGTTAATTTCTATTAAAAGTTCATTCTACATGCGTGACGAAGTGTTTCATTTTTAAATTAGTATATTTACGACCTATGTTATATATTTGCGTAACGTTTAATTAACTTTTCCCTTTTACATTTTTATCTTTCGATTGATCTCTCTTTCTCTCTCAGTTTATTATTCATTAAATAAACAGGGTGAACTATAAAAGATGACGTTTAGAAAACGTTTCTATACCAAGTGTATTCTATTTTTAGTATCGCCAATTGTTAAGAACGAGACGAGTTTAAAACTGATAACAAAATAAAATAAGAGTAAGGAAGAGAGAGAGAGAGAGAGAGAGAGAGAGAGAGAGAGAGAGAGAGAGAGAGAGAGAGAGAGAGAGTTTAATGAACAAGATAACAAAGTAGTTTTACTCGTCGACGATCCGGCAAAGCAGAATACGAATCTCAAATTTTCCAGCCGACGAAGCGCAGCCAAGTTGAACAGGGCGTTGGGGGGTTGGGTGGCGATGAAGGGTGGTTCTACGACGACAATGACGACCAGGACGAAGAGGACGAAGAGGACGACGTCCATTCTCGGGGGAGAAAAGCGTCGTCTAAGTTACTCGCGTCGATGCTCTTCCTGCTTACGTAAATTATTACACCCAACCGCACCAAGAAGTATCTTCTAACCCACGTTTTAAGGGTTGATAGCGGTCGTTGCGAGCATCTCCGAGGAAAAAAAAGAACAAAACAAAATTAAATACTATTTTCCTATTCAAAGTAATCTTCCTTCCAAGATAAAAATTAATTTTGCATTATTCATCGTCTAAACTGTTGAATTTTTTCAAGAAAATAATTCATCGTCAGTTTAGTTTTTGAAATTACGTAGCCAAGAATTGATGAGATTATTCGAGAATAAAAATGTTAAAATTGTTAATTGTTCGTTGATCCCCGCTTCTCTTCGAAGTTACGATAACGACGAAATGTAATTCACTTTTTCTAAACTTTATCGATATGTAGCTTTATCGATTTTACCATTGTCTAGCATGACAAATACGTATATATAAATATATATATATAGATAGAATACGTATGTACATAGTTCCGAGTAGAATGTCTGCGCTCTTCCATTGGCCATTGTATCGATCTTTCTTGTTAGCCAACAACCGCTAATTTCTCCTCGAGTCTCTTGTTAACTCCGATGTCGGAGTTCGTTAAACGATATCGACGATATCCTCAATTTTACGATACGACCGCATTGATATTAGATAATAGAACACGCGATTCATTAATTCTTTCTCAAAGAATAAGCAATTATATTCAAATGTATATACCAAGTTTACCATTCAACCATTTGTATATTCATTTATTCGTAAGATTTTCTTGTAAAAATAATAAATAAAGAATATCTGACCGACGGTAGAAAAAATTCGGTCACGTTAAATGCAAGAAATGTCATCTTTATTGTCGGTGTATATTTATAAAGATACTTGTACGCGATTTACACTTTGACCTCTTTCCTTTTTTCCTTGTGATCATTGCCAGGCCACGATTGTTCTTCCGACAAAAGATCGCATTGTTTACAGATTAGTAACCTTCGTCGCGCCGACGACACATCTTTTTTTGCGGATTCAGCTGCGCGTCTTTTTCTCGGTGCATCGACCGAGCAAGAGAGAAAGAAAGAAAGAAAGAAAGAGATAGACTTTCCGAGGAATAACGAGCATTAAAAAGTGCTGCGTCGTGAATGTTTATCTCGAGATAAGCGGCTCGTACGCAGGAAGTTTCGTGAATTTCTATTGCGAACGGCTATTAATGGAGGATCCGTTCGTTTAAGCAGAAAAAGTCGCGAAAATGTATTATTATATTAGGTTCAATCAAAAGTTCGTGCTATTATTGTATTGTTTCAGGTAGTGTCATTTTTTGGAGTCGATAAAATTTACTTTACATGCAAGGGAAATATTAATTCAACAAACCCACGAACCCTTTTGGTTCACCCTAATATTTTATACTCGTTCGGACAATTATCGTTTCTCGAATTTGAAAATTATGCTTATAATTGATTGAGAAAAAATATTATTTTGCACCTTTCCCGAAGAAAACGAACCACGTAAATAGATGAATGAAATTTAGGCGAAAAGGAAATACTAGACGACACTTGTATGCGAGTGCATAGGCGTTAGAACGTAAATTAAATTGCTTGTCTCGACCTTCGTCGTCTTGTTTCTTTCTAGCACGACGACGAAGTTATACGTCGCCAAAACATGGCGTGTGCACGCGCGCGCGCGCGCGCGTGCACTTCATCGTCCTGCTGCCAGTCGAATACGACGTTTTACGAGTGCAAATAAATGCACACGCACGATACGATGCGGAGGAGGGCTTTAGCTCTATAAGCCACGCTTGAATTAAATTATTTTCAGAGAACCGATGCTTAACACGCTCGCCACGTCGTTCGGATGGTAATAAACTTGAAGTATGAATCGACCTCGAATATTCCCCACGACTGTTCCTCTAACAACGACATTCAAACCCCAAAACGATAATCACTTTTTCCTCGAAACCGATATTGCGCAAGACCGGAATACACTGCTGGGTTTCTTTTATTTTAGTTATACTTTCTTATATAATCTCACAAATAAATCAATGCACAATATTTTTGACTCATTTTGTTAAATATCCGACGTACTCCTATATATTTCATTGTATTCGATTGATTCGTTAATAATAAATTCATTGTAGATAATAATATATATCAACATTTATAATATATAGAAATATCATGAAATGTGTGTTCATTTATTTAGCGATTTAATCCTATTGAATTTCCAGCATAATCTATATAGGGACAATGCAACACATATATCGAAGAATGAAGGAGAGGCTCGATGATATTGGGTAGAACTGTTCGACCAAAGGTACATCAATTTTGTGGTTGTATTAACGTGCTGATACGCGAGATGTCTACGTTCATGTTGGTGATTACACGCGTGCAATTTAAATATATATACCCATATAACACAGGACATGCGTGTAACGCGTAGCATGGTCGTCTTTGTCGTCGTTTCAACGCGTTTACGTGTACGAGCATCGTGGGGATAATACTACGCGCATGCTCTTAACGAGAACAGTGGCAACGCGTGCGTGGGTTCCACCCTTCGATTGCTATACCATGAAGGAGGGTGCGACCAGTTCACCCCACTGTATTAACCTACCGAGGTGAGAGGGTGAAAGGGTAGAACGATACCTCGTGTTGGCAAGTAGGCCAATACCTTCTCTTCTTTTATTTACTTATCTTTTCTTCATCGCGAAGAAAAACGTTGGAAAATTCGATAAAGTATAATAATTCATTTGACTAGTCGTTGTATGTTTCCCTGTAAGAGATCAAGATCTGATGTGGGTCTCTGATATAGAACCGAGATCGCGTCCTACACGTACCACCACCACCAAACCTATGGCAAAAACCGTTCGCGAAGGAAACACGTGTTTCGCATGTAACAGAAGGACTCTAATGTTTTTGCTTCTCGTCGTACGAGATTTGGACTGTGCCATAAAAACTCGCGCACGTTGTTTTTTTTCCTCCCTCTCTTCCCTCCGAGTCTAACCAGATTTCTCTTTCTTCGAGCAAACTATTGTGTATGCAAGATAATCGAGACGATAACGTTGCAATAACGGACAACAGATAATTTATAAATTAAATAGATTTATAATATATATACTTTTTTTTCGGATTAACACGAGACCTCGGGAATATAAATTTTCGTAATATAAATCCATTTACCTTGTAAGACTATACCATCTTCTAAAACATGACGTACGTTCACGAGTGTGTTAAAGAAAAAAAAATCAAAAGAGGAAGATAATATAATCTGCGTTGCATAGTTTGCCGACTAATAATGTCAGTCAGCACGGTAGGCATCCATTAAAAAGTTATTACTTTCTACCTGACTCCTAACTTTTCATAAATCATAGCATCTCATCAAATTCTCTGAACAGGCATAGTAATGAGAATGCAAATTAGTAGTAACTCTCTTTTTTCTCTTTCTTCTTCTTCTCCTTCTTCTTCTCTTTTCTACTTTTAAGAAGTTACCAACGATCCTTTCTCTCTTTTCCTATTTATCATGTTCAAACTCTAAGTCATTAAGAATATACTTTAGTCTATAATATCGACAATCGTGAGTTATCGATCATGCGAGGAACGTCATCAAAGTATTATGTTCGATGCCTAGGAAAAAGTGGAAGAATTTTTCAATTTCCGACTTCGTCTGAAGGTTCTTTGCATTCATAGTAATGCCGAGGAATTACTAGCAATGACTGATTTCCGGCTTTGACGGTAACATATATATACCTCAGTGAATTGGACCGATCGTAAAGCCGACTTATGCATCTTTACGGTGGACGTAAAAGCGGATTAAATAGGAGAAAGTATATTCCTGAACATAAGACTCCTCGAGTTCTCATGATGAAGCGAACAAATACTTCATTCAATCAATTCCAATCAGAAAATTAGTTCAACGATGCTTCCAAAGAGACCATTGTGTTAATCGATTGACAAACATTTAT